TTCTCTAGGTATTTTTAAATGTCTTCCTTTTTCTATCAATAATTATGGTCGCTAATTCTCATTTTTGTTATGTTACTTCTCTTTTCAAAAGACTTACAGTTTAAGTAATTTTCCATTTCTAAATTTGGCTTCAAACTTTTATATAAATATAATTTACTTATTTTATCAATTTTTTCAAATTCTTGTTAGGTAAAGTATACTCTGAGTTTTTATATGCATCTCTAGCGGGTATCTCCCTAGCTCTGTTCTCATGGCTATGTTTGATGAAGTTCGGAGGATATACTTACAGAAAGACAAATGTAATTTTTCTAAACATGATTTATGAGTAAAAATTATCTGTTTTTTATGCTTATGATTTGATTAGTCGAGGCCTTTCAAACTGATTTGCTGCTTGTTCTTGTGTTACGATATTACACCACAATAACTCCATTGTTCCATGTTATGAGATAGATTATAAGTCCTCACAAACATGCTTAACGCCGCCACGTTCTTTATGTGCCTGTCAAAAGCCATGTAGGAGCCTGTTATCCAATGATTGTTGGTGTTGGTTGATTGCTGTCTGCTATATTTGTTTTTCGTTTATTGTTTGAGTATAAGTCATGCCGTTGTTTTACTATTGCCATCGCGCTGGCATTTTTATATTTAACTACACGGCTTAATGTTTGTTCGTTGTTCAAGGCTTACTGTCACGTAGTTGTCCATATCTGTTTATCGGTCGTCCCTCTGTCTGTATCACTCCGCTCAGCTGTCAATAAAATTGCACATCACGGCTTTGTGACGTCAAATGCATTCACCCGGCCTTGATAACTTTGAGCCGAATTTATCAAGTCATCTTCCGGTTTGATGATGAAACAAAAATAATACTTGTTTCTATCATGCAAAATACGCAAATACAACCCGATAAATCGGTTATCTTATATTGTAAAATATCAGATACTCGACACAATATGAAGCATTTTTTGAACTCGTTCGCTGCGCTCACTCGACAAAAAACTTCATAATTGTGACTCGCAGCTGATATTTTATAATATCAATATACAGACAAACTTATAATCGGTACTTATTTGATCTTTGGATGCTTGTTGTGACTTGCAATCAAACCGTATATCTTTATTATAAAAATAAGATGTTATGAGACTCTCCATCATAGACCAAATGACGTAGAAATGAACAATCATATGTCACCGTACGGTCTGCAACTATGATCAAAACCCATACCGCATAATAAGATATAAAGGGTCCCAAAATGGCAAATGTAAAACAATTTAAACGAGAAAACTAACGGCCTGATTTATTGTTTGCTTCAGTTCATTCATACTTTGATCATAAATATTTGTAATAGTGTCTGCTACACATCAACTTCATGTAATTCATTGCTATTTTTGAACATGATATGTTATCGGTGTAAATTTTTCCATTTTGATTATAGAAACATAAGGGGGTTAGTGAGTTTTTTTAGGTAGAAAGAGACAAAAATCTATGACAAAAACGATGATTTCAACCTTCAATTGTCAAATTCCTATATCTCTGCAGTACGTTTTTTGTAACATACCATCTGCCCCATCGTATGGCGTTTACATATCTCAGTTAATACATTAAGCTTGTGCATTTTCACTCTTTACGAACTTAATTAACATGGGTGTGTTCCGTGCACAAAATCTGTTCCAACATAGTTATGAGCTGAAATCGACACTACATAATGTTTACGGTCACCATCACGATTTGGTTGACCGAAACGAAGTGTCTATGACTAAACTACTGTATGTAAAATTTTAATATGTAAGTTATGTTGAAATAATATATATAAAGACTAATGCTCGTATTGTCGTTGAAAATGAGAAATAATAAATTCACCCAAGTATAGATTCCCAACAAACCTAATATAAAAAGGCCAAATTTGCCTTTGACTTGATGTCATAATGATCTTCTTTTCTTGTTATATATTACAATGAAAAGCAATATCTAACAATTGTTTGTTAGACAATGAACTACCAAAAGCAGTATTTCTCGTAGGCAATTTCTTTTTTCAATTTACATTTTTTAATTCCAACAACTTTTAAGGATGATGAGACGTTTTATTTAATCTTAAATCCAAGTTAAGCCAAGCTTTAGCCGCAATTAAGCATTATATATCACGTATCAATTGTATATATCTATTTAAGGAAAAGATACAAAGAATGCCTTTAATTGATAACGAAGGCTTGCCAAGTGTTTGGACTAATGGGAAAAAATTAACAAAGGGGAAAAGATTACGAAGCAATTAAGTCTTAAAGAGATGTTGTTTCCGCAGTTCCAAGTATAAGGGTCTTGATGCGTTTTATAGAATAAAGAATAATAGGGAAAAGGTGCAGAATAAAAGCGCAAAAAAATAAAGAATAGAGAAAAATAGGCTGAAAAATAAAGAATAGAGAATATTGATGTGTTAAAATCTAAATAGAGAATAATGGACAAAAAATATAAAGATTAGAGAAAAGTAACTTAAAAAATTAAAGAATACAGAAATGAAGGACCCCCATCCATACCCTCAAGTATTAAATGCCTTTTGACATTAATCTGTCGTAAACTTTTAATTTCAACATGGTTGTGGGAGGTGATACATTACGAAATCACTCTGATGTTTATGTAAGAAAAATAAAAGTACTACTTAAATGGTAACGAATAGTAATTAAACGAAGGAAAGTACTATCAACTGACAGCTACACGCACAATAGGAACTCAGAAGCACATATAAATACGTTATTTGTGGCATTTGGGCATAAATTTGTCTCTCTTGAAGATTTCTTTTTCTCTTTTTTCGTTATGTTTTGTTAACTCAACACTCCTTCTGTTAATTTTGATGAGTGGAATAACGAAAGTACGTCGAAGGATCATACATAAAATTTAGTTCCTAAAAGGAATTTAACTACTGAAAAAATGTTTAAGGCAACAAACGAGCGGCTGATATTTTACGATATCTAAACGTAGAAAACCCGACCATCTGTAAATCGTTCTATTACTGGTCTTGTTCCTCCTCCCTAGACAGTTTTATGCTTGACGAAAGCAAGCTTGATAACGTCTTCTCACACATTGTGACTTCGCTGATAACTTATCTTCGGACACTGTGACGTCGCTGATAATGTCTGCTCACGTCTCAAAGCCTTGATACGAAAATTACGGAACGACTGAGCAGGATGATATAGGCGAAGGGAAGGACGGTAAGCAATTTTACGGAGAGCTGAGAAGAGTGGGAACACCGATTATCTTACATATCAGCACGTCAAGTATACGTTGAACTTGTTTTCAGAAACTGCGAGAAAACTTACGGTATAATATTTTTGTGTAAGTTTCCAACTTTACGACACAATGTGAAGCTTTTAGCTCGTTCGCTGCGCTCATTCGCCAAAAAAGATTCACATTGTTGCTCGCGGTTGATATTTTACGATATCAATGTGTAGAAAATCCGACAATCTATACATATAACGACTTTGTGACGTCAAATACATTAACCCGGCCTAAATAACTTTGACCCAAACATATCAATGTCGTCATAATAAAAAAAACTGACGATGATAAGTTTAACCCAAACTTGTCAAATCATCTTCTGGTTTGCTGGTGAAACAAAGAAAAATACGTATTTCCATTATGCAAAATACACAAATACAATCTGATAAATCGATCATCAGATTTTCATCATGTTTATATTGTAAAAATCAGCTGCTCAACACGATATGATGAAGTCTTTTTGAACTTGTTTGTAGCGCTCACTCGACAAAAAGCTACATATTGTGACTCGTATCTGATATTTTACAATATCAATATGCAGACAACCTGATAATCGGTGCATACCGTCCTTCATCCCAATATTAACTGCTGTACTTCCACGGAGATTTCATTGGGCAACTATATATACATTGCAGAAGATGTAGTCTTGTGCAATGACTAGAATAGATTTGAAGCTGTGTACATTTGTTATTCTTATTCTTAACACAATACAAAGATATATATATACAAAATGATGACAGAAATTGGTCAAAACAGTAGACATGATACATGTATCAAAATACTGTCAAAATGAATGTTGAAGACCGAATCGTCCACTAATAACATGAAAAAAATATATGAAGATCGTCGATATGCGCTTCTGTTGTAGTAAAATTGGTACAGTCAATGTCTTCTGGTGGACTGTTAAGTCCCCAGGGTATCACCAGGCCAGGAGCCAGTATGTGTGTATTGACCTGTAAATTTCTATTATGAAAATTTCGAAATCATTGTAAATGAAGGAATGTTTCTCTCTCATGTAAAGCTCTGATTCCATGTCCTGGTTTGGCTTTACTTTTGGACCTTATTTGGTTTTTATCAGCTCTTCAACGTTGCGTATCAGGTTTTGGGCTTAAACATAGCCTCGAGCATCCATGAAAACATTAATTTTCGAAATTCGCATCTGTTGCAGCAAAATTGGTATCGTTAATGTTGTTGTTACTACATATGGTATATAGTTATCACAACATATCATCGGTTTTATATTTTCTAGATGCCAAAATATGCTCCCTTATCTAGCTAGACCATATGTCGTTAAATTAAAACACACAAACATGTAAACTAACGTCATCATCTCTGATATGAAGATCGAAATAAAAAAGGTGATAAAAATTTAGAAGGTTGGATCAAAATATGTTATAAGATATAAAATTCATTTTTTTGTTTTTTGTTTTTTTTTTTGTTTTGTTTTTTTTTTTGTTTGCTTTTTCATGATAACCCCAACTAACTCTCAAGTTATAAAATAAGAATTATGCATACGTAACCCATGAATTGACTGGAAAAGATTGTATACCAGATCTTTCACGTCGGCAAATTGTCCTGTTGATTGTGTTGAGGTATGCAGCATTTATAGAAAGACTTAATTTAACATGAAACGTACATATTTTGACGTTAATAGGTAATTTACACGATACAATGAGTTCAAGGTGTCCATTTTTGTACAGGTTAATCGGATAAATTAAAATATGAGATTTCATACTCAAACGAACAATTGCAATGGATAAGTGCTTTACTTCAGTTATTTTAACAGTAAGTAAATTATATCAGTTTTATGGGAAATCTTTCATTACTATTTTATTTTCGTATGCAATAAGTTTGCTTATATTTATATTTTTAATGTCATTTATATATGCAAACTTTTTTCTTTTCAATGTGTATTACAAGCAAACAATACATATTAAGTAATTAATAACATAAAGTTTATAGTTTATTTGGTAATTGATTGATAGTAATTTTATATAATACCACATCTTGTTTAATAATGTTGCTAGATTCGTGTTAATGGCAAGTCCTTTTTAAGAATTGAATGCTTCTTTTGTGATTTATTGGGGTGTAAAAATGTTGACCGTTGTACAATGTGCGCACTCTCAACACTTTTGTAATCCTTTAAAATCACAAAAAAAGTATCCAATTGTTATTATTACATTTGTATGTCACAACCATGATATTAAGATTATATCATGTTTTTGTTAGTTTTCAAATACACTGTTGTTGCGTTGTCATTAGAAAAAAGTACTTTCATGTTGCATTTTATGGAGGAGGGTATAATTTTGGAACGTCTCGCGATTGTTGTGTGCGTATCAAAATTACGATTCTTGTGAAACATATACATGTAATGTAATTATATGTCAGTAACGGAAGGAAATTATACAAATGATATTAAATAAATCAATGCCAATGATGTGCATCTTGTATTATAAACATCTTTTTTATGTTGTAATGTTACACTACTGTATCAGGTTAGGGTGAAGGTTGGCGCCTGTTAAAACGTTTAAAACCGCTGCATGTGTATGCACCTTTCCTAAGTCAGGAGCCTGTTGTTTAGTGGTTGTCGTTTGTTGGTGTTGTTTATAAGTGTTTCTCGTTTTTTTATATAGATTCGACCGTTGGTTTTCCTGTTTGAATTGTTTTACACTAGTCATTTTGGGGCCCTTTGTAGCTTGCTGTTCGGTGTGAGCCAAAACTCCGTGTTGAAGGCCGTACATATACTTCGACCTATAATTGTTAACTTTTTATACATTGTGACTTGGATGGAGAGTTGTCTCATTGGCGCTCATACCACATTTTCTTATTTATATATACATTAAGTGCCAATCTGCCTAAGAATCAGGCAGTGGTGAAAACATGACAAACAAAACCCCACCCAAGTTGACATTATATTATGTTCAAATTGTATAATGGTGCATGAATATAACATTCGTTTCCCTTTTCCTGTTCTGGTAACTCAAGATATAATTTGGTTGAAATGCACTTGAAATTAACAATTAAGGGGAGCTAACTCCGTAATTTGCTATTATCCTAACCAAAAGTTATCTAGATATTTCTCGAATTACCAGACACGCACAATCAAAAGACCTTCTTACTCAGGATGAGAGTAACTTCAAAATAGGATGGTTAGGTAGGTGGGTTTTTTCGGCCATGTTTTGAAATTTTTCTAAATTGCCTGATTCTTACAAAGACTGGCACTTAAATGTCCACACGTTGACGAGGCTTCATATATACGTTCATATTTTAGATTTAGTTATTTTTCTAATGGTCCAGAACCTGTTTAAGATAAACAACGTTTCAATGATAAATATTTGATTGGTATTTTAGCAGATTTCAATTGTGTTTGTTCTACCACTGCAACCGGAAACACGTTTGCCTTTAAAGACCGATCAACGAGTTGTTACAATATTCTCGAACATGCAGTGAGTTGTTGCTATATTCTTGAACATGCAGAGAGTGTGGCTCTGTCCATACATCACATTTGGGTGTTACGTATAAAATAAAGTCAGAGCGAAGCTGCATATTTTTACATCCCGCACAGTCATATTAAAATGGACTCCTTTTTTTGGTCTGGTATTACTGTCGGATTGGAGAAGTCAAACGGGTGGATGACTTTATTTCTATACCCCAGTCAACACTTTAGGGTTGCACGTAAATAAACTCCAGAACTGATCTATTCTTAAGTTTAGTGGCAATTAACTGTCATTAGAAAAGTCATAACATATAACTAGTCTCAACTGACATCTCAATATATCCCAATATATTATACTGGAGTGAATTATCTTGGCTAACCATGCAATTTGATTGGTAACCTTGACAGGGTATATGAGCCTGTATACCATGTGAGCGAAAACGAAGATCAGAATGGTATTTAATGTTAAAGTCAGTGCACTCCTGTATGCATGTAATATAATAGTTATTCGTTCCCCACAGAGGCTATGGGTTCATATTCCCTGTCAGTGCCCCATATCCGAAAACTTAAAATTCACTGTAATTTTTTTAATTTGATAAGAATTTTTACCTTTCTTTCGAATTGTTTAATTAATTAATACTAAGCACTCCAATGAAGTGAAATGATGTAAGTTTAAAATTAGTCACAATCGTCTATTTTTGTAATTCATATTAAGTATATATTAATTATACCTATACATTATAAAACATTTGGTTAATAAAGAATTGAAATTGAAGTTCAGTATGGAAATAGTTTATCCTCGTTGAAACTTATGGCAGAAGTATAGAGACATTACCTGCATTACAGTTAAGGATGTTCGCTACTCTGTTTTAAGATAACAAGCTTTTTAAAAGACTGTTATAAATTTATAGTATGTAAATAAAGGAACTAAAAAAGCAGAAAAAAATGAAAAGGTCCGTGAGCTTGTTTTCGAGATATAAGCCATTTGAAAATTTGGCGGGAAATGATTCTCGCTATATTTTTCATATATTTAACGTTGGCACTTTTTTTCTTTCAAAAACTATGAAAAAATAAAAAGGATTTTATAGCATTTTCAAATATGGCTTTTTAAACTATATGTATTAAAATTATAAAAAGAAAAGTAGGGGTTAGCGGGTAAATTTTGTTAATGGCACTACATCGATAAAGCCAGAGGATTCCGAATATCTGGCAAAAATTTAAAAACAAGAGGAGCGAACATCCTTAAGTAAGAAGTATTGTGTAAATATTTTCTTTTTACCCAATAATGGGTGTTCCTAAGATAGGAAGGTTATACAAAAGAAAGAAGAAGTAATAATTCTATCGCAGACCTGTCTAAATATGAAAGTTACTGCAATTGGAATATTAAAAAATATATCAAAATATTTGAATAGAATAGAGAATTGAAACGGGGAAAGTGGCAAAGAAATAGCAACCCGACCAAAGAGCAGAAAACAGCACAAGGCCACCAATGACCAAAGACTTGTTTTTTTTCGCCAATGTTTTTGATATCAAATATTATTAATTTTGTTGCTGTTAACAATTTTAACGGAATGGCGCACTTTTGTCATTTTTTTCTTTGCTGAAATTTTTAATGAATGCATCTATATCGCTGCTATATTAACCTAGTATGTTTAGCAGTGTAAATTATCAAACGCAACTGATCTTAAACAACGTCCGTGGTACATTACAATAAAGCTTAACAGAATATTCTAAAGCCTAACTTAGCCTGATTTTGAGTATCAAATGCGTCTACTTCTCAGTTTCTCGTTCATCTCCCTCGGGCAAATTGACCTCATATGAATTTGACTATCCTTATAGGTCCTATTTGGTCATATTACTATTAACGTTTACACATATTTTACATCCCTTGTTATTTTCAGGTCTTATATACATCATTGGCCTCCATTTTTTTGTCTTGAGCGTCCCTGGTGTAGGTAAATCTAGAAAAACGCTTCAGACGCATAAAATCTTATAAAGTTTTATGTTCATTCAAATGAATATAACAAGTGCGTGTGAAATTGCATCAGTTATTATCAGATATACGTCCTGATGACATTTCAGATGATTTTAATCGTTATGTAACTTGATGAAATGAAATGGTTTGTGATATGCTTTAATTCAGATGACTAGATCAAGACGTTAATTGTTGATTAATGTTAAAAGTACAAATAATGTCATCGACTATTTTTGCACATATTTACATTAAAGAAAGGAAGTAAAAAATGATTTGAGAGATAAAGATTTGATGTGCATGGAAAAAAATTAAATATAATGTGTTCATTATGGGGGGAAAGATGTGGGATATACGACAATAACACATAATACAATAAAACCAAAAGCCACATCCAGAGGTCAACATACACTTTTCAACAACATGATAGTGTCCATGTCAAGTCCTAAATCCTCATGAGCCAATACAAAATGCGAATAATTTCAACAAAAAAGTAATAAATATATACCAAAAGTGCCACGTTTCCTATAATATGTAGTTCATTTTTATCAAATGAATTGATTGACGTCATTGAACAAGTGTCATTTTTGGAACATGAGCTGTAAATGACTAAAACTACTAATCTATACCTCTTAAAAACGGTATTTCGAGTTATGCCCCCCTTCTCTCTCTCTCTCTCTCTCTCTCTCTCTCTCTCTCTCTCTCTCTCTCTCTCTCCGTATTTTCGCAGCAACTACAAACCAGAGCTTCTGTATATGAGCAACACAATATTATATTGGTAAGCTATAATACCGTATGACACAATTTCAGATTCGTCACTTTTCCGCTCCCTCTCTGTCGCATACCTGTATGTTTTTTGCACTTATACACAAATAATGTTATCAGGAAATGTTGCTGCATTCTTGTTCTCATCTGTAACTCAAAGTTTCTTGATAATTTTTTTACCTAACTTCATACTGATAAGTATTACAGTGTGACATATTTAACCTAACTTCATACTGATAAGTATTACAGTGTGACATATTTAACCTAACTTCATACTGACATATTTTACCTAACTTCATACTGGTAAGTATTACAGTGTGACATATTTTACCTAACTTCATACTGGTAAGTATTACAGTGTGACATATTTTACCTAACTTCATACTGGTAAGTATTACAGTTTGACATATTTCAGATTGTCAATTGCCCTTTTTTTGTTTGCTGTATATATGTTTGTTCTTTACACTCATGCATACGTCTTTAGCCGAACAGTTTTATCATATTCACATAATTCAATTTATTGTGTACCATTGGTGGCCTTCGGCTGTTGTCTGCTCTATGGTCGGGTTGTTGTCTCTTTGACACATTCCCCATATCCATTCTCAATTTTAT